CCCAACCCCCCGCTGCCGCCGCCACCACCATCAGCACTGAAAAAAACCAAATGAAATGAAACAAAATAAAATGGGTGAGGGAGGAAGGGGAGAGCGGAGTGGGGCGCTTTTTATTTTTTATTTCTCATGCTGGGGGATGCCGGTACTTACTTGGCTATGAAAATCGCCACAAATCCGGCACGGTTTCCAGGCGGGCAGCCCCGTAATCTCGGTGCGGCAGCTGGTGCCGCGGCTGAGCCCAGCCAGTGTGCCCGGGTCCCTCTGCAGACTGTACCATCCTGCCCGACAGTCTCCGGGGAGGCAGAGGCCGCTGCGCTGCTGGAGGCTGGGGGAGGGGGCAGGAGGACGAGGGAGGGGCGCGGGGAGGCCTCATTCTGGTGGGGGGACTGGGCGAGGAGAGTGGGGGGCGTGGGGGCGTGGACCGAACCACCACGGTGTTGTTTGCGGTTTTAACTCCTCCCGTGGGATCATGAGGAACTGAAGCTGGCGGAGTCCCAGGAATACGCCCGCTCCCCCGAAGTAGGAGGGAGTGTCAAGGGCATGGTGAGGGTAGGCTTGGGGCTGCGCTGGAGGGGAGGGGGTCCTTCGAGTAGTGGAGGGGGGCCGGTGAAAGAGAGAAGAGCATTTTGCTCAAACGGCCCTAAGTCTTCCTTTACTTTCTGGGGGACCCATTCGGCTGGGCAGGGGCTCTTGTGCCCCCTCTTTTTAATCAGGACACCCCCAGACCTAGGGGGCAAAGGTCACATGAGGAGCAGTGGACTCAACACAGTCTAAACACAACTGTGGTCGCAGGACCAACGGAGCAGAGCCTGCAGCGAACTCCCTGCTGCCGTGGAAGCACAACCCCTGAACCCCTGCAGCCCCAGGGCTGGACTGTGTGCAGCCCCACCTGCCTGGGGGCTGCAGGTCTGCAGAGGACCCCCTCAAGAGGCCATTTCTCTACTCACGGGTGCCCACCGCGTATGCCTCGCGCATCTACAGAATTTGCAGGGACATCTGTGATGAGTTTCCGGGGGCTGGTGATGTCCAGAGGACCCTAGGGACCCCCAACAAGGAGTCTGCAGGAATGGGATTCCCCCAGCCAGCTGCCTGCTTCCTCCTGCCTCATCTCTGGCAGACCTGCTGCCTCTTTAAATCCAGCCAGGTGGGAGGACAGCCCCAGGAACAAGGGGAGGAGGTCACAGTGGGTGAAGGGGCTCCTCTCAGATTCAGGAGCCTCCCCTCCACTGCCGTGCCCCCTCCAGGAGGGTTGCCCTGCTTGGCAGGAGGGCACTGAAGGTGGAAGGACCTTCAGGAGTGTCTTGGGGCACCTGTCCGTGTGGAGGGGGTGTGTGAGGGCTGGGGGGTGCCCCACACTAGAGCTGCCTCCTTCCACTGCCCCCACCCCCTGACCACTCCTGAGCTGCCCGCCCAAGCGAGCGTCCCAAGCTGCCGCTCCATCCCTGGGCTGGCACAGAATATCAATTTGTCTCGTTAAGCTGAAAGTCTGCACTGCACCAAAATCAGAACCTGGCCGGGCAGAGGGGCCACGGGAGGCATAGAGCCGGGAGCGCCAGTGGCAGGGCCCCTGTCAACAAGGCCACGCTGATACCCCCTTGCCCTTCATCCCCCTAACCCCACCAAGGGGTCCCCTTCTGTCTCTGGGCCAGGCAGAGTGAGATGCAGGGAGGCTGCTGAGAAGCTTAGGGTGCTGAGCACTGGGTGGCCCTGGGCTCCAGTAGGGCAGGCAGGGAAGGCACCAGGCTGGGTTCCGAGGGAGCAGCCCAGGACACCACTTAGGGAGGCTTTCGTCCTCTACCAATAGCCTGCGACAGGGACCTCCCACCTCGGCCCCTTCTTGGGGTGCAGACGGGGGACTCACTGGCCCCTCTCCAGTCAGACTTCTAAGACAAGCTCTACTTCGGGGGGTCCAGGCCAGCCTCTGCCCCCCAACACGGGGCCAAGTAAAAGTGTCGGAGACACTGGGGTAAGGGTGAGCACAGGCCGGCAGAGGGGAAAGGACCACTCCAGCTCCCATCTGTTGGAGCAACTGTCTGGGCCAGGAATCCCACCGTCATTACCATGACATTAACGGGGGCAAAACCCTTTCCCTGTGATTACAAAACAAACAGTCCCACCAGGGGCCGGTTATGAGCTACCATCTCAGCAATAACAATCCTGTCCATGTCCGGCACACTTTTGTTCACAAAGGCCACCTGCAAACCAGTAAATCGCTTGCTTCTCACAAGTACTGCTGGAATGGCTGCTGTGAGCACCCATGTTACAGATTAGGAATCTGCGTGTGGCTCAGAGGCGTGTGGTGGTCAGCACAAAGTCCCTTGGTTGGGAGGGGGTAGACTGAACCTGTGACCCACGCCTGAGGACTCCAAGCCCAGGGCTCCCTACATGTGAAGGCCAGCATGGCACAGGCCGCCTGGGGGCCCCAGTACTCATCCACTTGGCAGTTCTAAGTCCTGCCTGCTCACTAGCCCCTGTGAGGGGTGGGCTGGGCCTTCACCAACAGACACCAAACTCTCAGGAGCTTATGGATTTTGGTTCTCAGGATCTAAGACTAGCATGGCACCTGGCTAAGCTCCCAGCTTCTTGGCGTTTCAGGCCTGTGTACTTCAGCCTCTGCATCCATACCCCAAGTACAGGATATTCCCTAACTTTTGAGGCAGTCCAAATGTTAAATAGCAGAGTTTGGAAGTTTTTTCTTATGTTTGGCCTACGAACTCCTACTCATCCTTCAAAGTCCAGCTCAAATGCCCCTTCCTTGGACAGTCCTTCCTGATTCCAGCAACAGAATTAGTTCATAACTCTGGCCCAGCTCTGATCACAACATATTGTGATGGTTTCACATCTGTCTCCCTCATTGGGCTGTGACCACATCAACTCTGTCTCCAGAGTCCCAGCTCCCAGCTCCCAGCACGTAGTGGGTGCTGCAATAAAGGCTTGAATGAAATCTGCTGCTATGTGATTTTAAGTTCAAATACCAGAACTAGAAAGACTCTTATCCACTTCTCCCATTTTACAGTGGAGCAAACTGAGGCCTCAAGAAAAGAATGTAAGTGGCTTGCCAAGATCATCCTTGAGGGTCGAATCTGGCCACAGACATTCGTCCCCTGCCCTGCCCCCTTTGCCTCCCCTTCCTGCAGCAGACACACCTGGGGCATCTGGACTGTCCTTCCAGGATATGTTGGGGGCAGGAGGTACTGGACAGGCAGAGGTGTTGTGAAATCAGACAAACAATGGCACCAGTGTCGCAACTCTGGGAAGGCTGGAAACGACAGGTCAGGGTCACTCACAGGGAAGAGGGGGAGAGAGGCAGGAGGCCAGCCAGGAGGATTACCCATAGCTTCTGCCTCCAGCATGATGTGGCTTATGGTGGACATGGCTGGAGGGTCAGGGTTGGGGGAAGATATGAGAAATAGGGCAGGGGTGAGGGGAGAGCCGGTCCAGTCATATTTCAAACAGTGTTTAGTTGCCCAGTTTTCTCCCCTTGGGGCAGATCCTGGGGCTGGAGAGAGAGGGGGAGTAGAGAGGGTCAGTCCACCCAGGGATGAGGGTGGGGAGCCTGGCCCCAGCTGATGGAGGCATTCTGCGTAAGGGAGACTGATGAGGTAGGTCCAGACAGGTCTGAGGCAGGCAGAATGGAAAGCAATCCGAGGCCAGCTGTGTCCTCTCTAGGAGATACGGGCCCTCTGGGGCTTTCCCCCTTGAGGGGAAGCAGCAATGAAGGCTACACCTGCCCTCACCTTGCCCAGCTCAGGGTCTTCTGAAGCCTGGGCGGGGGTCCTGGGGCAGCTGCCATCACAGTGAGCTGCTGGCTGGGCCCCTCAGGGGATGAGAAGCTATTTCCAAAGGCCCCTCCCATCCCTGCCTTGTCTGACTTCCACTAATCACTCACGGAGAGATTGGGCTTCTTCCCATTTTGCAGGAGAAAATTGAGGCCTGGAGATTTTGAACAACTTGCTTAGGAATTACAGGGCCAGTGAGGGCCAGAGCTGAGATCTGAACCCAGATCTGTCCCACTCGAGCTTTAGGCTCTTCCCTCTGTCCTTGCCTCAAGCCGCCCAACTCTGAGGCCCATGACTCAGGCTCTCCTAGGCCCATGACCTCAAAGGGCCACAGAATGTCTAGGGGGCTGTGTGGCCCAGCTTGTCCTAAGTCTTTCCTCCACTCCATTGGGGTCCTATACCCACTCCCACCAAAGTCCAAAAGTCCTACAAGACAACCTGATCTTGGGCTGAGACAAGACAGCCCAGGTTTGTGGTCAGACAAACCTGGGTTCAAATCCTGGCTCCTTCATTTACCAGCTATGTGACTTTGGGCAAATGACTCAACCTCCCTGAGTCCCAGTTTTCTCATCTGCAAAGTGGGGACAATAATACCTGTTTGGCAGGTTTGCGCGCTAGAGGAGAACGGCAGCCGTTATTCATAGAAAAAACATAGGGGCGAACTTCCGAAGGCCCCTGGGAAAGGTCGGGGGAGTGGGCCTCCCCCAGCCCCTCAGCCCACTGGCTTGTGACGCTTCTCAGATACCACCAGTGGGGCCTAGGCAGGGCTGGTCTCTAGGACTCTGAAGGCCCAGACAGCTCTGCTGAGACTCGAACCCAGGTCTCTGATTCCTAGCTCCTCCCACTGGGTCTTGGTCCCTCAGGGCGGAGGGTACAGGCTTGACCCCTGGCTAGCTCCAGCTGCCATTCACATCTACATCCTACCGTGTGTCTCATGCGGTGTGAGCGTCACAAAATCCTGGGAGGTAGGTCCTATTTTTACCCTCCCCTCCCACCATTTTACAGATGAGGAAACTGAGGTACAGAGAGGTGAAATGATGTTGCCCAAGGTCATAGAGTAGGGGAACTGGGGCCTAAAACCAGGGCTGCGCGAGGCCCCACGCTGAGTCCAGGGACTGTAGGAGGCAGGCATAAGCCTGGGTCCAGGGAGCCACGCGGGACCTCGATTTCCCACAGATCAGAAAACCTCAGCCCAGAGGGCCCACCCCAACCCTCCAGCGGGGCGGGGCAGGTATGTGGCTATGGCTGACTTGCCACCTCTCTGCGAGGGCAGGAATAGGGGCCAATTAGGGAGCAGGCACTTTCCCACCTGGCAGAACACAGAGCCTAGTGAGTCAAGAGCTACTCTGGGAGGACTCCCTGGGGGAGGCTGCCTTTTCCAGGCCCGAGAAACACGGTCTCATCCACGGGCGGCTAGCCCTTCAGGTTAATGCCGCCTTGTTAATGCACACGCACTGACACACTGCCCA